AATGACTCACGATAGTAAGAACAGCAGAAGGGTGAAGTTTTCTTGTGGCATCTAGTTTACATCAAGCGACATTGCTACGGCAAAAGGCCAAGCATGATGAACTGACTTAACTTTAATAGAGAAATACTTACATACATGATAAAAAATACACAACACATGCGTCTTTTGGGATAGTATACAAACATCTTTTTATACTTCTTATTTTGACAAACATGTATATTAGTATTTATTTGGATATTAACATTAATTCACCCGAAAGAGGACCGAAGGTCGCCTGGAGAGATCACCTGTTTTAACCATTTGCACCACTATACAGTAGTGTGTTGTCTGTCAGTCAGTCAGTAGACACTAAAATGACGTCACGTAAGGGACGCTTAACGTTGCAATTTGTACTGTCGTGACGCCAGTAGAACGTGCGCGTGCCATAAATCACGAGAAGAATTAAGCACTCTGTAGGCTACAACACAGCATTACATATGAACTTCAAAAGTAAGAAATAAATATTTGTTTCACTTGCTCTTGAAACAGAACACTTTTTTATTTTTGCCACTCTATACATTTAAAAATATCTTATTTTTATTGCGCATGTAGATAAAATTTGTAAAGAGTTAATCAATTTTGCTGCATTGCTCCGAATTTACTATGTGAGTACCATAAAACATCTGTAGTTTTTGTTTTATAAAAAACGATAAATATTATGCCTTTTACTTAAAAATGGTAAAGGTTGAAACATACTTCCAGACAAAGCAAGTTATTGTTATGGCACTTATACAGCTCATTGTATTATTACATTTTGGAACAAAACAATGATTTCTTTTAAATTCACTGGTAAGCACTTCTATGGTCACGTCACCGGCGGTGAGCAGGTTCATGGTTCACCACAATGAAAAACGAATCGTGCACCACACTTTGGAGCAATGAGTAAGTAAAAAGGGTGACAATTGAACCCCACTATTCGATTAGAGTAGCATTATAACTGACGGTGGGGACTGTTGACCAGCTATCTTCTCTATAATCAATCAACTAAAAATCGGGGACTAAGATAGCTCTAGTGTATGTGCGCGAAATCCACCAAAACGAATATACAATATGGCTAACCCGTTTATTCTAAGTAGACTGTTTCTGCACAGGTAAAGTGTTTTGATCAGATATCACTACTTGTGGATTTGATTATTATTTTCCACCCGAAGTGGTAGTTGAACCCCCCACTTATCAGTGGAACTATCAACACAGATGCAGCATCTTACACCACTCCCTCATTTCAGATTTTCCACATAGCCCTAGGCCTTAAAGGCATCACTTTTAACCTAGTCCGTGAAGAGTAAATCGCCATTAAAATTATCAAGCAAATATTCATACGAAGTATTATGTGCTACAGCTTAACTTAGATTAACAGCAACCATGGACTTTTTTGTGCAGATACTTCTTTGACAAGTGTATATTTTTTACCTCTTCAACAAAGACAAAACGAAGAAGAATTTTATCATTTTTCTTATTTCTCTTAAGCTAAAACAGGCATGAAGCTACTCTTTTTCAAGTTATATAAGAGTGTTTAGATTTTTTTCAGAAACTTAAGAATTGTGGCATTTGAGCATTTAGAACAGCTGTAGTAATATACCAGATTTGGCCAAATGTTCTAATCTGTATGTTGAGTAGCAGCGGTGTTATTTCATCCTTTTAACTTCACATGAAGTCACTAACGTGCTTCTAGATGTACAGGCTTTCTTGTATTGGACTATATTTTATAAGTTGAGAATTTGAAATAAAATTTAAACAGTAAAATTTATATATTAACAGAGTAAGGTAAAAATTAAATCAATGATATACTGATACGGTTCTTTAAAGTTTCTAACGGTTATCCTAAAAAAATGTATTTTACTCTAACAACACAATAAATATGAAAATGTAGTACCATTGCAAGTTATGGATGATATTCTCAGTCCGTTGAATATCTAGTCCCTAATATTCTCTTTTAAAATATGTACATTCAGTAAAACCAGATGTGTGCAGGGGTTCCATTTTCAAAATTAAATCAATTGTATAGGTCAGAAATAAAGTACTTCAAATAATGGTCATCACATGTTATTGTTAGTCCTAAAAAATTGGAAAACTAAATATTATTTGTGGGAGTGTCTTCACTCCGAAACGTTAAGGGATAATAATTGTGTGAATTGTGTTTTTCAATTTCCGAAAACATCTACAGTTTTCAATCTCGATTTTATAATAGTAGTTTTTAAAAGTACCGCAATGCTATCATTAAAAGTTATGATAAAATATTATAATTTCGATTGAGGTAGTAGAATTAATCTAAAGATATTTTTATTAGATAAGTTTTTAATTTTTATAAAGATTCTTAAAAAACAAAATGTATAGAAATTATTGACTTACGTAATAATACATTTTTCCTTGAATAGAATATTAGTTCAACAGATTTATATTTTAGGACATGCATTATAGGCTTCACCTGAGAGTGTACATGACCCAGCACACACACCGCTGTTGTCTGTTTACATCAATAATATTTCATGTCCGACTTCGAAAGCTCCAGTTGTTCTATAACGAAGAATTGTTCTGAAAAGAGAGGTTGATCTCATCTTTCTTTCATTTGTAAAATCTTGAGCAGTTTATAAAAGCAGATGGGTGATCTGTTCGCTTCAGTATTCTTGAACAATATTTAGAAAAAGTCCTTTTCAATTTGACTATACTATAGCTACCGCATATCGGCAACGAGCATGCGCAAAAGATGCAGCTCTGCTATCCTGCAGTGTCCATACAACATGGCTACCAAACTGTCTAGTTTCATTGTTGTCGATCGATAAATCTCCTGCTGTGCCAAACTGTCTAGAACACGAATGCTAAAAAAATTATTCTACAGACGACACCAAACAAAACGAGTTTTTGGAAGAGTTTTAAGTAAAAAAAGCAAGCTAGAAATTCGAATTTTTTTATGTTAATTTTATTCTACGCTTTCACTCAAAATAAAATATTAGACTTCGTTGTAAAAATAATAACAGAAATAAATAAATTATAAACCCTATGATCTTCGATATTCCAAACCAAAAAATAATGATAATTCCTAAGATATCGTTCTAATAGAAATATTTAAGTGTTTCTTTTATTTAATGTTCTTATTTAATTACTTTCTATATGAGTATATAAAATTTATTAATTTCTATGGTAGTTCAGTTTGGTTTTGTTTTCGGTTTATTCAAACTTCCTCCTGTATAATCCTCTACGAAATTACCTTCACAATCCTAACTGCAGTATATGGGTAAGTGTTCTATTTTAGTGCATAACCATTTAAATGATAGATTCAACATATTCCTGCACATAGCAAAGACATGTAAATTTGTATAAAATATACTAACGCTTACCTTTAGACACTAAATATTTCGAATAAAAACAAACAAACCAAAAAAAAAAGAAAAATGTTACAATTCTAGAAACTAGTTCAAATATACAACCAACTAGTACTCGTGTATGTCAAGGTCAAATCCCTCCTTCGTCAACATGACACACAGGATCTGGTGCTGAACTCCTGCCTAATTTGCACAAGCGGGTGAGAATGATGACATATTTCTTCTGGACGTGAGACCAGCAGTTCATCGCAAATTAACCCGCGGCTAATAACTGGTACCAATCGTATTAGGGGGGATTGGAATAAAGTGTCTTGCCAAAGAACACAATAGCACGACGCGAACTCGCAACCATCTGCTACAAGTCCAAAGCGCGAAGCTGAGTCACGTTACTCCCGTTCGTGTGTGTACTCTACTTAAATTTGTAACTTTATTTTCGTATGTAGAGAATGCTGTTCTGTGTATGGTAAAACCATAAAAGTGGGTTTATAGGAATTTCATTCTTAGTAGCATTGATGCTAAATTGGCATAATGTTTGTGAATGAGATAACACATGTGTTGTTGATATAACGGTATCTTTTAATATAATCTGCCCGGATGATTTTTTTTGTTTATTTACAGCCCATAAAATATTTTTTGTTTATAATTTTTTTTAGCCTATTTCAAGGTGTATCCCGTAGATGCTAGCTTATAATTTCATGGTTTCTTCGTCGTAAGCTAAGACTTGTAAATATACCACAGCTTTTGGTGGATAAAACAATATTTGTCTTTAATAACTGTTTTTGTATTATATTCGTTACTCTCAGAACCCTTATCATCATTGGATTTATTAACACTCACATCATCTTTATCATCAGTAGTACCTCCGTTTTAGGCCCGGCA